TAGTTTTGCTCTTATGAGCATTAAAGCACATAATAATAGACAAACAACAGTGGTTAAAGCAAGCAGGTAGGATTACTATGTTCTTTTGTCAGAAGTATATAATGTCTTGTAGTCAGTTTTAAAGACTTCTCAACCCCCAAATCCACCCAGCAGTCACCTGCTGAGTAATTTTGTGTGCCTAATCTCTAGCCCTTAACTACAAGCTTTCTGCTAATTTGAGGCAAATGGGTATTTTTGACACTAAATAGGGCAGTAAAGAATCCCTGACCTAGAAAAACTCCATTCCAAGGCACTGAGAGCAGAAAAATATTCTTTCAGCATCCTTGTGAGACCTTTGGAACTGACATAAAATAGCTTTGACTAAACTGTGCTGCAGCCTTCGATTAATGGTTTGCAGAAACTTGCTGAACATCCCTACTACAACTTCCCCCATAAAACTTGTCACTTCACATTGCCATCAGCCACCACAACAATAATCATTTCATGCCTATTGCTAATTGCAAGCACAGCTGAGGCTCAGCGGGGTGCTCTTGCACAGTCCCAGGCCTTTATACCAGCCTCAATCTGTTGTATGGCACTTGTTCACACACAAAAAAACTACCAGTAAAGGCAGAAAGAGGCAGAGTCACAGGTTCCTTGTAATCCCTCTGCTACCCTGCTGACAACCCAGCCCTGTAAGCATTCCTGGTTTTGTCCCACTCTTTACAAAAGCTGAAGTGACCTTAAGCTACTAGTATGTAAGCTTTTGAATGAAGAATACAGCTCCTTCAGGTGCCTTAAGAAGCAGTGTTGCATCTGGCTTACGAGATTCTGTTTGCAGCACCCCTGGGGTGAGCTGTGGCTTCCTGTAACATGTAAAATATGAGCGTGAACTCAAGGTTCATGGCAAGGAACAGGAGGTCATGCTTCCATTCAACTCACACCAAAGAAGACGGGGGTTTGCAGATGTTCCTGGGTATGTGTAATGACACCACCTCCCGGAAAGCGCAGGCACCCAGCACAGGGCTCTTTTATTTTTCTTGATAAAATGTGCCACACTCAGTGTGTTACTTGCAGATTTATTCATATCAATTTTTGCAATTTATGTATTCAGAGACAAACTTGCTATTTCAGCAAGTTATTGATCATGCTTTTGCATTCAAAAAAAAAAAGGCGGGGGGGAAACGAGGAAGCTTCTTGCTCGAGCTGGTTGGGGCGTTGCATGGGCAGCAATGGAAGCCCACCCCTTGGCATGCTTCAGCTCCCCTAATGCCTGTCCGGGAGCATCCCATGGCCCACCTCATCTACCCAGGCTAGCACCTAGCAATGAGGGTTGCTGTGAATGGCAGAAGGGGAACGGGAAGACTAACCTGAAAGAGGGATTAAATTCCTGGCCATGCATATATGGTATCTACTTGCTGTTGCTGGGCTCTGATAGCAGCAAAGGGTGTCTGTTTGCATGTCCTCTGCTTTAGCCAGGTCACACCCCACAGCGGGGGCTGCAACACACCCCATGGGAGCCCCGCTCCCTTCGCCACTGACGTCCCGGTGGATGTGTGGCATCCACCACGCATCCCCCGGGATGCACCCTCCACCCCTGCCCCCAGACTAAGTGCAGATTGCCCCCTGAGCGATGGACAGGGGTGCCAGCCAGCATCAGTAATGTGCGTGTGTGTTACGAGTTACTTTGGCATGCCCGTGCCATAGCTTAGCTGGCCCTGGGCCTCCAGGAGCGTACCTGACATTTGTTGCAGCCCCACGGTAAGGCCCCAAAGTTCAGCATTTGGGCTGTGCCCTCTGCACCTCGTGTACAGGGAAAAGCCGCAGGGCTGGAGCCCCCAAGGAAGCCCGTGTCCCTGGCACGTGCCCCGCTGCCCTTCGGGGGGGTGGCAGACCCGCACGGGGGGAGCGAGGTGGCCGGTGGCCGGCCAGGACCACGCTGCGCTCTTTTGTCTGAAATCATCACATTTCCGTTTCGGAGCATTTGGCTTTGTTGTTGTTTTTTTAATAATATAATCATATGCAAATGTTATCTTCTTTGGTAGGTTAGTCATGAATCAGAGGGCTTGTGCGTCTTATAGCACATCAACACTAGTGATAGCTAAAGGGAACATTTAATTTATGGGCTAACTTATTTTTATGAATATGCAGGGCTTAAATTCAGCAGTTGGTGTGTGCTCTATGAAGTGACGTGACGGTTTTGTGTATCAAGATCAATGAATTAGACTTTGTCTTTTCCTCATAAAGCAGAAAGTCTTTGGAGTAACTTAGCTTTAAGAGAAGCGAGCTCCTTTCATGCAGCCGAGCAATGCGCCTGGCTGAGCCCGTGTCGGCCGGTGCTCAAGAGGAGAGGGGTACGAGTTGGATTTGGCTCAGAGGAGTTTGCGTCTCCCCGGAATCCAGCGTGTTGGGAGTGCCTACCAGAAACACAGAGAAATGTTTCATTTTGTTTAACCCGAAGGTCTCGCAGCAGCAAAGTCACCTCGCCGATAACCTCCGGGCAGAGGTTATCATTTCTGTTCTGCATCCACACGGCTGCGTAGGTGAGGGTGGTACGGGACAAACAGAAATGGCAGGACCTGCCCCCGCCGGGGACTTCTCGTCTCGTTTAGAGGTGACACAAACACCCAGCACATCCTTTCATGGAAGACGAGAGGCAGCAGCGGAAGGGAGAGGGCATGCGTATGTAACATAGGGTCGCTTTGTTCCTCTGTGGGTTTTGATTTAAGGAGGTGGTGGAAGGAGGCATTTGGGTGACCTGGGCATCCGTGTGCCAGCGCAACCCTGGGCCACAGCTGGAGTCACCCAAGAGCACGGCTCATTTAAGGATGCTGATTGCAGAAATGTAACACTATAAACACTAACGATTTCTCTCTGTTTTGCCCATGTGGGCCCCCAGCATTACAAGGGAACCCAAGCAGATCTCCCAGTGACCACAGTCGCTTGGTGCCCCCCCAGCCCCAGCTAGCTGCTGGCTGTCCTGGGTCATTGTCCCAGAACCCACGGGCACCCAGGGCTCTCTGGAGATATCCAGGGATGCTCTGACCTCTCAGACTCATCTGAGGGATTGGAAGGTATGAAGATCCACCAGACCTTCATGTCTACTGCGCTGTCAGGCTGACACCAGCTAAGCAGGGTGCTTCATGAACAGTTCAACCGCCATCTGTCATCAGGACCTCAAGTGGCAGCTCACAGTAGCTGAGCTTGACTTTGTTACGGACAGAGCTCCTGCTTGCCTGTTTCGGTTTATTTGAGCTCTTACCTCTTGCCAGGTCTCCATCCCGGAGATGGCGGGCCAGCCAAGCTGCACAAGGTGTAAGCATCAAGCAGGAGATGTTTCTTTGGTGACTCTTCCATCCTTTTATTTCCTCCATTTTATTAAGAGGTAGTGTAGACATAGAAGTACAGGAATGTCTTTATGGAAGTGGGAGGAAAAGCTTTTCCCCATGCAGCATGACTGTAACTTCTACTCTCTGCTCCTGGTGAAGGGTAGCAACTCCCGGGTGCACTACCATACAGTTCAATCATCTGTGTTTGAGCCCACATTTTTGTGATGTTGGGCTGGTCTAGCTTGGACTCATTTGTTTGCTTTGGTGAGCCTTGTGCCAGCTTGTGGGTGCTCCAGGACAGCAGTGTCTGTGGGCCCCGATGGTGCCAGCCAAACCCTACCCAGTCGCAGCTTATGGTGCTGGGGCTGCACATCCAGCAGTGCCTCTCAGCCGCCGGGGGCAAGGGTAACAAGTCCCTGGCCTCCGTTTTGCAATTAGAGAATAAATATTCAGTTGTCTGCATTCACCTGCTGCGCTGGCAGCTTCAGCAGCTAGAGGGAAGAGGGCATGTTTCTGGGTCAGAGACCCCCACCCGAGGGTGCGGGACACAAAGGGAGGCAATATTCCCTGCGCTGGACTGATGCGAGGTTTTAGGCTACTTGGGAGGGAGCTGCATTGTGGGCTAACCTGGATGGCGCTCAGTCGGGATTTCTATAAACTGATCTCGTGGGGGAGATTTTTTATCTTTAGCTGGTTCTAGATTAACTGCAGCTGGTCTGCAGTATAGGTTTTGATCTGCGTGTGTGTGTAAGAGAGATCGTGAGAGAAGGGTGTGACTGCGGGTACAGAGGCGTGATGAGTTTCCGTATGCAGACCACTTTGTAATCAACTGTTGTGCTGAGCACCATGGGGAGGGGTTTTTTGTGACACCCCCCCCCGCCACAGCCCCTGCTTTTCCTTCTCTCAAGGGCTCGCTGCTCGCCTGTGTGGCGTCAGACGTGCAATGCCAGCCCTGCGTGAGCGGGGCGCTGATCCACAGCCCACCGGAGACTTCCTGCACTGCAGGGCTGGCAGGCTGCTGCTACACAGCTGCAAGCCTTTTTTCACAGGCAAGCAGCAAAATTTCAGCCCCTGGAGGGGGGCCCTGTGAGTTCAGCAGCTTGAAACAAGCTCATTTGTTTGCTGCTTTTCCATCTTTCATAATTGTGAGGGTGAAACCAAAGCATTTCCCGCGCAGCCTGGGCAGGCGCCTGTAGGTGCTTACACCAGCATCCTCACCCGCAGCCCAACCTTGCCCCGCCCCAGCCTCCCCTCCGCTCGCCGTCAGGGAACCAGACTCGCCCCGTGCCTGGTTATGTTTGAATTTCAAGACGGTAAGTAGCTCGAGCGTGGGTCTGACACACCTAAAGGCAGGGCTGTGCTCTCACCGGGGGGGGTGGTGTGGGTGGGATGGCTTAAAAAATGGACTGGGCCAAACGCAGACCACTGCTGGCGAGTCCCATCAATGGCAAAATCGGCTTGCAGGAACCTGGCGGTGTGGCCGTTACCCCTCCTACTAAGTTTGTTGCTGTTAGGAAAATTGAAAAGCTCGTGCATGGGAATTCTGTGTGGAAGAGGGTGCCTGTCTCCCCCCGCCAGTCCGGCGGGAGCGGGGCAGGTTGCTGCTGGCGGGGTGCGGGTGCCGCCCGTGCTACTCGGGGCGCAGCACGCAGCCCTCGCGTGGTTGCTGGAGAAGTCCTGTCTCTCTTGCAGCAATGGTACACCAGCTCGATGAATGTTGTCTGCACCTGGCTGACAGACCGCATGGACCTGCAGCTTCACATTTATCAACTGAAAACTCTCATTAGGATAGTAAAGGTAATCGTCTGATGTGTTTTCGCTGCCGTCTTGCTGTCGGAAGGAGCGTGTGTGTACGCCTGCATGCGTGCGGCATGTTCTCTTAGGCAAACCGTATATATATTAACTGTGTATATATATTCTATAATATATTAAGCCATTTGTTAAAAATTCTTAAAAATTAAGATACCTGTATGTGTGGCATGTAGCAAAGGATAAACGGGGGCTTGAAATGCATAGAGATGCAAAATACAGGTGTGCAAATAAGAACAAAGTAACTGCATGAGAAAAGGGAAAGTCTATTGCTATGCCACCCTACCTGTGCAATCAGAGCACCAAAATTAGCCTTTTTGTGGACAAACATGTTGATCACACCAATGAACTCCAGTGTTAAAACGGGTTAAATCCAACCAAAAGTTCTTAACACTATTTTACTAGAAACATTTAAGTCCAGCTTGTGATTATCGTCAGAATGCAAATGAGGATTGTTCTCATAGTTAATTGAAGTTGTTTCTTTTACAATCAACTCTAAGAGATCACAAAGGTGAGATAACATACCCTGAAAGTAACATTTTTTTTCCTTGAGTGCACGTGTATGTGTATATGTGTGTGTGTGTGCGTGCCTTGGACTAATGATAATTATTTCAGTGTGAAATCGCAGTGGTTTACATGAAATAATAAGATCACAGAAGGGGGTAAATATATTTTTGATCATTTTAGGTTCTATCTAATGCTTTTTGGTCTAGTATTTTATAATGTTTATGGTCTTGTGTGCAGTGAACACATTGAAGGCATGAATAAATTAAAACTGAAATGTATTAAATGTGCTTTTCATAACTGAAAACAACAGGCACAGACAAATTATTTCTGCTTGTCAGCTAGCTGAGGAAAGCTTTCTTCCTTGTGCTTTATTTATACCAATATTACATTCAGAAGCAGCTACAACAAATCCAAGGACTTTCTGAAATAGCAGAACAGTAAATAGTTTCCACGCAGAGCACAGAGCAGAATTAAATGAACTACGAGGCCAGAGTTTTATCACACAGAGTAGAGAAGTTTTTAAACAGAAATTCAAGTGAGAGATATTAATCATAATGACAAGGGAAATACAGCTAACTGCGGAAATGCAACCCCGGGTTCAGAATTAGGTGACGAAAGAGAGATTTAAGAAACATGTGCTGCGTGCTTATGTTTATACATCAACAATTTTCCCTGGTGTCCTGGACTTAGCTTATTTAATCCCGATACTGTAGGTAGGATTATTTAAGACAGAGCATTCTGGGAACGTGTAATCACGTCTGCGGTTGCGGGCGATAAGCGTTCTGCTGCGTGAGGAAAAATAACTGATGTTACAGGCAGGTGAACGCATCCAGAAGCGAGGAAAGTTAGTTGGTGCACTGATCTGGTGCTTCCATGTCTTTTTAGACCCCAACCTACCATGTGTAAGCTCCCCTGAGTGCATCCCAGTACATCCCTGCTCTGAAGCCTTTACGCAGCCGCGCCGCCCGGCCGCCCTGCCGGCCCTGCAAAGGCAGTCGCAGAGCTGTGATTTCTTGCTCAAGGCACCCTAAAGGGACCTCTGCCAACGCAAAGCAGCGGCCGGCAGAGACCACCCTGCAGCCTCTGCGCTGCCTGGGGGGATGAAAAACATCCCTGGGGCGGGGATTTCCCTGGCGTCCCAGCCTCTTCCATTAGTGGCCCCAAACTCTGGGCATGGGGACACAGGCTGACTCCCGCAGCGAAGCGGGGGAGCCGGTGTTGGCCCTGACCTCTGTGCTGTCTCCTCCTTCCTCTGTGCCTCTCCCCGCTTTAGAAAACGTACCGGGATTTCCGATTGCAAGGCGTGCTGGACTCCACCTTAAACAGCAAAACCTACGAGACTATCCGGAACCGGCTGACGGTAGAGGAGGCCACGGCGTCTGTCAGCGAAGGCGGAGGGCTCCAGGGGATCACCATGAAGGACAGCGATGAGGAAGATGAAGAGGATGACTAGGGAAGCTGGCCCGGAGGACCGGCTGGGGGTCGCCTGGTATCCGTGCATGTACCTCGTCTGTAACTCAGTTAGCCACATTAGGAATTTTTCTGTCAGCTCTAAATGCCCATGAGAAGTTTACCAATACAAATGCCATGTTAGCTGTGTGGTAATAAGATTAGCACCTCTCTTTGATTCATCGGTTTCCTAATTTCATATCTATATGTTCATAAGCAATATGGAGCACCATTGTTTAATACTGTTAATGGAAAAACTACATAGAGAACATGCTAGGTGTGTCCCTGTTATAATTAAAGTTTAAACAATGCTTCATTAATGTACTGTATATACATTGATGGTAAATTGTTGTGAAGATGAGTGAATCGAGTCCTTTCATTTCTTTGTTTCTCTTCTGTGGATGCCAACTGCTTAAAATTAATAAAAAAAAAAAACAGCTTTGTTTTTAAAAGAAGAATGAGGCAATTACAAATGATTTTTTTGTTCTCTCTGTTCATTTAAAAACCAGAAAACAAACAAACCCAGACAGCCGTTTGAATCATTCTGCATCCTTGTTAATGTACCAGGCTCTTCCCTTCAATATGCAGTTAACTCCATAGAGGCTACATCCCAAAGGATTAGTCATTCTAATTGCCACACCAGATTAATCCTATCATTATGGATATATCATGCCACATTACAAGTCCAAAGCAGTTGTTTTATGTTGACATTCGCTCCTCTAAATGTTACATTTTTGTTTAAATTTCAAATAACCATGTATGTACAAAGACAACTTTAATTACAATATTAGACTATACAAATGTGTTTATAATAATATATTGAATATTTATTTCAGTAGATTGTAACCATAATTTACAATTCCTCTGTTTCACAATGGGTTTTATATATGTCATGTACATTGCATTTTGACCAGTAACTGCATGTCCATCAGTTCCCCACTCCAGAGCTTTTACTTTCTGTGTAAAATAGTGATCCATCTTGCTTTTTTTTGCCTTATACAAGCCGACAGTTGTAAAAGTGTGAGGACTGTGGCTTCTCAATAAATAACTATTCAGATGTCCTAAGAATAAATTATGGAGTCTTTTTATGTCTGCCTTAGGAAAAAAAAAAAAATTACAAGCTGAGATGTAAGAGCCCCCACCTCTCAGAATAAAGGCATTTTCTTTTCTCATGGGTGTTTTTACAGTTTATTAATTAAGAAGATGGTTTCCTGATTTGCTCCCAGAGGTCAGGGTGGGACCAGACTGTATATTCCCCAGGTACAAGGACAGTTCTGCTGTCACCTCTGCAGTTCGTTCCACCGTTACCTGCTCTCTGCATCCTCATTGATGGTCTGCTCTGGTACAGCCCCTGCTGTTACGTGGGAATCAGCCTTGCCCGACACCTACCTTGCACCAAAAGGCCTCAGTTTGTATTTTAACTTCTCCCAAAGCAGCCGATTGCAGCGGCCCACAGGGCACTTACAAACACACGGCACGGGGCAGCCGCCTAGCTGAAATTAAAAAGCAGGCTTGTCTGATGGAAAGCATGTTAGGTGGAGAGTTTTCTAAGAGGTTTTGCAGTCACTCCCTCCCATCAGCCAACTCAAACTGAAAATGACTCCTGCTAGCCCAGGTTTCCGTCATTTGAGAGAGAAGCAGAAGAGCTGATGTCCTTCGCCCCCCAGCACAGCAACCTGTTGCCACCCTGGGGAATGAGGACAAATGGTCACCACCCACAAATAAAAGATGGGCAAACACTGAAAAAGCATCCTGCTGGATGAACCTGTCTGACATAATGAACCATTAAACTAAACCGTCTTCCAGTGCCCAAGAGCCATGAGACACTCCCTGGACATATGGGAGGAGGCGGGGATCTCTGGGAACAGCCAGTGAAGGGGGTGTTGGCTCCCAGATGGGGCTGGGATAGTTATGGAGCCTGGAGCACATCCACCTGTAATGCACCCTTCCCTCTGTGGCAGAATTTACCACCCAGCCCTGGAGGTGCTCTGCAGCCCCATCTGGATGGTCATACCCTACACATTCAACACCTGCCACCCATGGTGACCTGTGTTCACCAACCCCTTGGACCACGGACAGTAGCAGGGTCTTTACTTTAGGGTTGGTGGTGGGCATGCACATTCAGCACCACTTATGTGTTGATAAGCCATTTGCTGCACTAGCACAGCCGAGTTTTGAACCCTGACTGTAGCCCAGCAGACCACTTCTTGGTTTTTGTCTTGCTCCATAATGCTGGTAGCAGTGCCAGGAAGCAGTGCTGGAAGCAGTGCCAGGAAAAGCCGCCTCTGAGGACTTCTTAGGCAGGAACGTGGCCTTGTGGCCACTGACACAGGAAGCTCTTCCCCCTTCTTACCCATCCTGCAGCTGTGCAAATACTTGGTCCCAAATCCCCAGAGGAACTGAGGTAGCAGTAGCATTTTTAAGTCATGTGGAGTCCACCAAAACCAGTTCAGGTGCCTCTGCAGGTTACATCACTGGCACGCATATAAAACCCATCTACATCCTGACTTCATTGTGCTTGGAGCCTTCAATCACACCCTGAAGCCCTCACAGGACTCATCTGACAAAACAAGTCTCACAAGACATAAAGCAATGCACAAACTGCAAGTACCACACCATCCCTTCTTTCTAGGTGGTTGAGATCCACTTGAGACCCATACACATACTGATGAATACATGTGTTCATGCCCCCTTCATCCCCTCCCTCAGCTGTCTCAAATACTTTTGTGAAGGACAAGAGCTCCAACAGGAGGCACCGGAAAAGCCTTACCTGGGATGATCACCAGGCTGGCAGCAAAGAGCACGGAGGGAGACCCAAATTCGTAGCTCTGCTCCCAGTCAGGCAGAGCAGAGCTGGAGAAACAGCTTGATTCTCTTCTGGAACTGGCTCCCTTTTTTTTTTTTTTTTTTTTTTTTTAACATGAAATATTTATTGGGTAAAAACACAGCCCACTTCCACCTGCCACCTTTCAAAATAGTGAGCCCTGCTCAGTTTTTTGAATG